AATTCGTCATTATTTATTCTAATTTGGTCGCTGCAAAGGTAAAGTTTCTTTTAACACACGTTGGGTCAGGATTTTCAAGAATTAAGAGGAATTTCGGTTGTTTTGGAGGAAAAATTCTCTGCTGCTTATTGGATTTTTTGGATACATTTTGTTCCCAAATACTCGAAATGAACGGCTGCAAATAAAGAGAAACTATAGAGAATGAATATTATTGGCCGCCTCATTGTGTATATTGTTGGTTTAAGAGTTGGGCAATTTTAATAGTGGTTTTAAGTTGGGGTGAGAAGGGGAGGAATACGCTCTGGGCGGTCAATTTTTGTTGATATTTTGGGATTTTTGTAATTATTTAGTGCGAGGCATAGTTGTGCTATTCTCCGATGCTTTATCTTCGGTTGTGGATCCTTCATGTCTTCGGGCAAGCCATTGCTGTCTACCTCTGAACCGTCATCTGTGCCAAGACCTCGCCATCCCCTGCACTCGTCACTGACAACACATCGATCTCTTCATCTGTTACTGACGAGACACAAGATAATAATTTGTACGACCTGAATGACGAATTGGAGGAAGACTTGAAGGAGGAATTGGAAGAAGACATTACCCCATTAGGAGGTGTTTTAGGGAACCTTCGAACCAGAAAGAAGTTCAAGTCAGTTGACCTTCAGGTGCAACTCTCCCTATGCGAGAGGAAATGCCTTGTGTCATGGGGTGGTGTGATAGATCCGCAGAACATTTGGACTATGCATGGAGTTTCTGAGGCTTCATCTCGAGCCATTTCTTCTGGGGTCCTGGATAATTTGAACAAGTCCCATAGGTCTGAGAGGTTCTTTCAGATAAGCATGCAGCTTAAAGAAAATTTAGCGCATCATGATAACAATAGGTTGATCCATATTAATGATCCTAAGAGCACTAATGATACGTATGAGTTTTCTGGAAACGAGATCCGGACCAGTAAATAGACATTCCTTAATTTTTTCCCTAAGAATCTCTTCATTCAGTTTCACCGGTTGCTTATTTGTATTTTTTAGCTATCGCTGCTCTGAACCAACTACCACCTCTTGCTGTCTTTGGGAGAACAGTATCCCTTTTCCCTCTTCTGTTTGTGCTTACTGTGACAGCTGTAAAAGATGGTTATGAGGATTGGCGAAGACACAGGTCGGACAGGAATGAGAATAACCGGGAAGCTCTGGTTTTTCAATCTGGCGAATTCCATCCAAAAAGATGGAAAAAGATACAGTCCGGTGAGGTAGTGAAGATCTGTTCTGATGAGACAATTCCTTGTGATATGGTATTGCTGAGCACAAGTGATCCTAGTGGAATTGCCTATATCCAGACAATGAATTTGGATGGCGAGTCAAACTTGAAGACAAGATATGCGAGGCAAGAAACTAATAAATTAGTTCTTGATGGGACAATAATTTCGTGGATTATAACCTGTGAACAGCCAAACAGGAATGTATACGAATTCACAGCCAACTTGGAGATAAATGGGCTGAGGTTTCCTCTCAGCCAATTGAACATTATTTTGCATGGTTGTCAGCTTAAGAACACAGAATGGGTGGTTGGCGTAGTAGTTTATGCTGAGCAGTGCAACGTCACCTGCTAAACGAAGCAGACTGGAAACCTACATGAACCGTGAAACATTTTGGTTGTCAGTTTTTCTTTTAATCATGTGCCTTGTTGTAGCAATTGGGATGGGTTTATCGTTAAATAGCCACAAGAGTCAGCTTGATACATTGCCTTAGTACCGAAAAATATTTTTCGAGAAGAAGTTTGGGAAAAAGTACAAATATTATGGAATTCCAATCGAGACTTTTTTTCTCTTTTTTGAGTTCTATTATTGTGTTTCAAATAATGATTCCAATATCTCTTTACATCACAATGGAGCTGGTTCGGTTGGAACAATTTTATTTCATGATCGGCGACAGGCATATGTATGACAGTAGCTCCGATTCAAGGTTTCAGTGCAGATCCTGGAATATTAATGAAGATTTGGGACAAATACGCTATGTATTTTCTGATAAGACGGGCACACTAACAGAAAACAAGATGGAGTTCAGAAAAGCAAGTGTCTGGGGAAAGCAAATGGTAGCACCCTCACTCTGGATGGATCAGGTGACAAAAATATTGGAGGTATGGTATTGCATCTAGCTTGTTCTGTCATTTTTGTTTATTTTGTACTTTCTGGAGTACACTGATGGTGGCCACTGAACGCAAATGATCTGTTTTGAAACTCTTAAAATATGACTATAAATTGATGTTTTAATCACTATTATATCAAATTTGATTACACTGAAGATATTTACATATTTCTCGCTTCTTTCACTTATTATGTGGTATTGGTAAAGCTCAGATATTTATTATTTCTAATTTCTTCACCAATTTAGCAGAAATCTGGAGTCATTAAAAGATTATAGTTTTTATTCTTGATTCCCTTGATGTAGTTGTGATGAACTTTTTCTGGTTTTTGGTGGCAAGGTTATTTGCTGCTTGTGGATTTGTGGTGTTAATTAGTTTCTATTTGTTTCTAAGGAAAATGGGAAATGATAATTGTGGAGAAAATTAAAATCTCAAGCTATGAAAGAGGATAAAAATTCTATCTCTGGTCTCATCTCGAAGAAACAAAATCCATATAGTTTGGTTTTATGCTTCTTTTTCATATCTGTTAATTGATTTTGACCCAACGAAAGGGAAATGATGTGTATATCTTCCGGAAAAGAATTTATGGGATTATCAGACAACAGGATAATATGGACATTTTGTTTACCCAATTTTATGTTGATCAACATATATCCTTGGATCTGCAAGTACATGGTAGACTTGTGAAAGAAGAAGATTGTTAACAACGCCAGATTACTGGATTTGATCATATTGCAAATCAAGTATGAAAGATTTATGCTTTCACTTGGCACTGTGAATTTGTATCTTCTGTCTCAATCTAATGCTTAAACTTCCAAGGTGAATATCAAATCATCCAAATGTAGCCCATCACTTGATACAAGGCATGAATAAGGTAGATGGTGTCACAGCGAAGGGCCTGACAATGATAACAGTTATTACAACATCATTTCCCTTCCTGTTTTCTGTTTACCCAGCCAATTCCTTTTAGTCTACCCTTTTCACTCTATTTTGTTTCATGTCACTAGAAGAACACCTGTAGTTTCCTTGTTAGTTCAATCATTCTGATCACTTAGAGGTCTTCATGTGAACCAAGTAACTTAAATACTGGTTGGCTCCCACACGTTTATATACACATCATATGCTTGTTTATAATCGTATGTGCTCATCATCATGATTGATTGCCAAAGAAAAATGCATTGATCACGTAACACATATGATTGTAATAAATCTATCGTTAACCTGTGCAGTGGAAGCTGTCTTGGAGTGTAGGAGAAAATGGAAGCCGAAATCTGAAATTACCCCTGATACAGAACTCCTCAAATTGTTGAATAATGATTTTTCTGGAGAAGAAAGGATTGCTGCACATGATTTTTTTCTGACACTCGCAGCATGTAATACTGTCATTCCTAATCCTTCTCAATGTCCATCTTCCAGAGACACTGACAGTACATTTGGTGCCAGTTATGGAATCATCGATTATCGGGGTGAATCTCCTGATGAACAGGCATTGGTTGCTGCAGCTTCTGCCTATGGGTATACCCTTTTTGAGCAGACATCTGGGCATATTGTGGTTGATGTCAATAGTGAGAAATTAAGGTAGAAGGCTCTTCTGTTTATATATCTTTACTTCTGTGCAATTTGCAATTTTTTGTTGGAATATTATTTTAATTCCACGAGGCAGAGATGATATGCAGTACACTAATGTGATTTTATCTTGTTCTCTATAGTATAACACCCACGACCACTTTTCTATGTTCTTCTTTTTTGTGTCTGTGTAATTGAATTAAGTCTTATCAATGTATCTATTCTGACAAATTTTCAGCGGCTTTACTTATTACTCTTGCATTTCCTTTCATTGTCAAATTTCAAGTTGATGGTCATGCTTATCATTTCTAACTGTGCAATGCAAGTTGGATGTTACGGGTCTGCATGAGTTTGATAGCTTGTGCAAAAGAATGTCTGTTGTTGTCAGATTTCCAAGTAGAACTGTAAAGGTATTGGCGAAGGGGGCCGATACATCTATGTTTAGCATTTTAAAGATGGACCATCCCGATGATAATCATACTAAACATGCTACACAGAGTCATCTGAATGAATATTCATCTGAAGGTTTGCGTACCCTAGTTGTTGCTTCTGGGGACCTTTCAGGTGAAAAACTCTTGGAATGACAGTGTATGTATGAAGATGCAAGCACATCCCTGTTGGACAGATCCATAAAGTTGCGTCAAACAGCAGCTCTTATAGAATGTGATTGACCCTCCTTGGGGCCACTGCAATTGAGGATAAGTTACAAGAGGGTGTACCAGAAGCCATTGAGTCCCTGCGGCAAGCTGGAATAAAGGTGTGGGTTCTTACTGGAGATAAACAAGAGACAGCCATTTCCATTGGTCTTTCCTGCAAACTCTTGACTGCAGATATGGAACAGATTATTATAAATGGAACTTCTGAGAGTGAATGCAGAAAACTTCTTTGTGATGCTAAGGCCAAATATTGTGTGAAATCTGCAAATAGCAGTGACCAGATATCAAAATGGGGAAAGAATACTGAAAGTGATTTCCTTGAGATTCCTCTTGGCACAAAGTTATCTAGTTTGCAACAGCGGCATGCAGAACAGGAAGAAGGAACTTCTTTTGGACCACTAGCACTTATAATTGATGGGAATAGTCTGGTTTACATATTAGAGAAAGATCTGGAGTCTGAGGCACGTGTAATTTCTGCCTTTTTTTTGGTTATATTCTGATGTTTTGATATGATTTATAGTGGTCTGCATGCTTGGTTTTATTTATCAGATTCTTGAATCTGTTAGCTTGTCAAAATTGCTCGAGTTGGATATAAATGTGCAAAGTTCTGTCGCATTCGCTGGCTGTATGAAGTTACGCATATAACTTACCGAACTTCTCATTTGGTAATTTTTCATGGTTTACCAGCTATTCAACCTCGCAACTTCGTGCAAGGTTGTGCTTTGTTGTTGTGTAGCGCCATTGCAAAAGGCTGGTATTGTTGACCTGATCAAATGTCATAGTGATGACATGACACTAGCTATTGGTGATGGTGAGTTGGTTACTTAGGATTCAGGTGGCATTGGCTGGAGGAAGTTGCATTTGAGTTTTGGTTAATCCTTTGAAGGCTGCTTTTGTTTATACGTTTCTGCTGTTTTCTTTCGTTTGAGAATGTTTTGTTTGACTTGCTTTAATCTAATTGATACTGTATTTGCAGGGGCTAATGATGTTTCCATGATCCAAATGGCGGATGTTGGTGTTGGAATATGCGGTCAAGAAGGGCGTCAAGCTGTAATGGCTTCAGATTTTGCAATGGGACAGTTCAGAGTTTTGAAACGATTGCTTTTGGTGCATGGACATTGGAATTATCAGCATATCAGTTATCTGGTTCTTTATAACTTCTACTGTAATGCTGTTTTCGTGTTGATGCTTTTCTGGTAGGCTATTATCCTTGGTCTTTATAAATTTAACCATTTGATGATGACATTCTAATCCTCTCTTCTTATGAACGATTTAATTGAAGCCAATTAGGCATTCAATTGTCTAGTGTTACTGCTATGAGTTATCCTATTATACAATTGAAATGCTTGTTTGAGTTTAAATTTGCATCACATGATCAATGAAATTGCCAATGCATAATGAGAACTGTCTAGAATTAACATTTCAGCTTGTACATTTATTTTAATCTCCAGGTACATTCTGTATACAGCTTTTTCAACAACATCTGCACTGATAGACTGGAGCAGTGTTTTTTATTCTGTTTTATATACGTCACTACCTACTATCGTTGTCAGTATTTTGGACAAGGACTTAAGTCACGAGATATTATTGAAGTATCCGAAACTCTATGCTGCAGGGCATCGACAAGAGAGCTATAATATGCCCCTCTTTTGGATCACTATGCTTGGCATGCTTTGGCAGAGCCTTGTTCTCTTCTACATACCCTTGTTTACCTATAGGGATAGCACGATTGACATATGGAGTATGGGCAGTTTGTGGATAATTGCAGTTGTTATATTAGTCAATATGCATTTTGCAATGGACATTCAACGCTGGGTTGTTATTACTCACTTCTCATTATGGGGATTGATAAGTGTGTTTTTAAACACTTATTTAGCTCATAAACATGACTTAAACATGGACAAAGTAGTTGAATTGTGACTTAATGTCGTTAAATTCATGCAATGTAGGTGTTTCTATGGAAAAGATGGAATTCAGAAGAAAAGAGCCGAAAAAGGACCAAAACGGAACAAAGCGATAGTTCGGGGACCAAAGGTGCAAATATTGGAAAGTTGAGCTAAAGTGCAGAACTAGAATGAAAATATGCCAAGTATGAGATTGAGGACGATACAAGACGATCGGAGGAAGAAAGAAATAACATTGAACTGAATTGAAGAAAAGTGAAAGATGAAGGACTAAATTGCAATTAATCAAAAGATGAGCCGAGCAAGTGATCAAGGAATTGATTGACCCAAACATCAATTAGGAGTCAATATTTGATAATGGAACAAAGGAAAGAAAGAAAAGAGATCAAGAAAAGAGAAAACGGAGTTCAGGGACAAAAATAGCAAAGTTGTAAAGTTACAACCTTGCGGCCGCATGTAACTATACCATGCGGCCGCACATGAGGAGGCAGGGATATTATTGGGGCATCACTTGAACCATGCGGTCGCACGGCTTTAAAATCTGATGAAAATTCTGAACTTTCGTTTTTAATTGAAACTCTTTCGGGGCTCCGTGAGGACATGATATAAAAGCCAAAATTTATCAGAAATAGGGCAGAACGTCCAAGGAGAAGAAAAATATAACTTTTGGAGGCAAGGAACACGAACTTGAAGTCGATTTCACAAGAATTCAAGCGGGTTTTCAAGATTTTATTCAAGATTTCAAGAATTTTCATATGGGTGCTATTCTTTTATTTATAAATTTCGTTTTTTCTGTAATTATGAATATTCTAGGCTAGGTTTTCAATTACTAGGTGATCGATGAATTGTTGTTTGTTATTTTAATTCCATATTTCATGAATTTAATATAAAGACTCGTTTGGATAATTTGATTGGTTTACATGCATTAATTTTCTTCCGCAATTAGTGGCTAATGATTGTGTGAGTGTTGATGACTTATTTCTTACATTTGAGAGAAGTGGAATAGGTTCGATAAGGTGTAAATTAACATAGGGTCCGATAGGGGATAGAGATATACCCCTATGCTTTATGCAATTCTTTAATTGTTCACAAAACCACATGCATTCTTGTATATTTGTATCATCCATAGAGATATAGGCTGGTGGTGTGCAAGAATAGGTCTAATATATATCGAGAGAATATATTGGATAGAATTAGGAACATTGAATTGGCAAATTTCCATCGGGTCATTAATTTTATGAAATTAGGGTTTTTATAACTTCAATTGGGGATTCGTGATCCTAGTGACTTTTGTTTGATTCATTTCCATAAATTAGCTTTTGAATTTGCATAATTTCATTTACTTGAGTGTTTGAGTCGTTTAATTAGAGAAATTTCGAAATTAGGGTTTTCAATAGAAATTAGGATTTTTAATTGAAATTAGGGCTTTTTGCATTTAAATCATATTTTCACTCAATTAGATTCAGTTAATGCTAGATTATATAGAATTGAACTACTCAATCTTTAAGGGACGATATTCGGACCTTTTAAAATCCACTTTATTACTTGTTACGAACCGTACACTTGCGGTAGTTTTAAATCGAAAGAATTATTTCGTGAACAGGGATCAATAATTATCACATATGGTTGCATGATGGCGCTTGATTCTACACCCGTGTGTTCTAATTACAGGTTAGCTTAAATATTAAGTTTTCAAGAAAATTCAGTGACATTAATGTTTACTTCTTACATCATTATTGCTTTTTTAAGGCTTATGAGTTTATTATTATTTTCATTGCAGTACAATATACCATCTGGTGAAGTCACCAGCTTATTGGCTCTCCATTTTGTTAATAATAGTTGTAGGATTGCTCCCTCGTTTTGTTTTCAAAGTTTTGTAACAAATCTTCTGGCCTTCAGATATCCAAATTGCCAGAGAAGCAGATATACTGAGAAAAAGATGGCCTTTTTTTGGTCAAAAGCCAGATCAGGTTTCAAGCAGACATGCTTGCAATCTTTATTGTTTCAGTTAACTCTGTCGTGGTAAAGCTCCCCTCTGGTTGTCCATATATTGCTTCCGTCGGTCATCCTGGTGTAGAAGTTACTGGTAAATTTATATATTTTATTTAATTGCACAGCAGACCTTTTTCCCTGTCATGTAACCAATGCTTGATTGCGATCTCTCATCTTAAGTACTTACCAAAACTATGGTTTGTAGATCTAGCAACGCATTGCGTATAGTAATTGATATTTGCCTCATGCCATATTGTTCTTGTTGTTTAGATCTCTGTGGCATTTCGTGCAAATCTGACTTGCCAATTTGATAGATCCTAGCTCTTAAGGACTATGACACTGTGTACAATAATCAATTGAGATCAGACTGCTTTCTTTTTCTTACTTATGTATTGCAATCTGTCTTTTAAACAGCAACTATACAGTTAAGAAGAGAAATTTTTACTGTACAAGCATGAGGTAGGGGGGATATATTTCTTTTAGGAGTTGGCAGAACACAGTTCTTAATGATCTCTGTCTCCTTTTATCCATATGCCATTTGTTTATATATTGATGATAAAAGTAAGGTGTTTTTGGTCATGACTTCAGTAGTGAATGTTCACATGGAAGAAGCTAATTAATAGCTTCCATGAATTTACTCAGAGCCTGTTTGGAAGTGATTTTGAAAATTGATTTTTTGACCGTTAGGAAAAAAGTGGGATCTACCCGTGAGAGAAAAAAGTCAAAGATGACGGCTAGAATAGTGAAATAACGGTTAAAAAATCACTCCCAAACAGGTTGTTATTGTGGTTCTAAATTTCGTAGTTGTACTTCGTGTTTCTTTTATGAACTCAAATCCAGAGGGTATTTTTTTTCCCTTAATTTTCTCTGATAAATCAGTTATTCTATGATCATCCATTTCGAACTTGTTTGGCCATCCATTACTCTAGATTTTTTATAAGAATATAGGTACAAAAGTTTGGCACATTGGTGTTTGTAAGGTTTTCCCGCTTCTTTCTTGGATTTTTCCTAAATCATTGCTTTTCAATGCTTCAGGTTGTCTACATGACTTGTCGCGAGCATATGAACAAGTTACCAGACTCGAAAAATGCTTGGCTTTATAGAAAAGTGAGAGGAGCGGGACCGACTCCAAGCTGTGTTGATAAAAAGAGGTTAAAGATCAAATAATTCGGATGAGGAGAAATAGTGACCTAAAACCAGGAGGGGGTGTGCTTGGATATTTGCTTGGTATATGCATGAAGATTTTATTTTGATTTATGCAATTTCAGGCCAGCACTAAGAACTTAAATCTCGAGTAATTTTAGTTGTGCTCAGAAGAGAGCCGAGAAAAGAAAAACGAAGGGAAAGAACCAGAAGAGAGGGAGGAAGAAAAGAAAGAAAGAAATAAACCTAATTATAAAAAGTAGGCGTTGATTTTACTGAACTAGTCAAAGAATGTTTTACTGTTCCAGGAGTGTGACGAATGAAATAATTTTTACTCCCTTTCGAAATATGCAAGGTTATTAGTCCCTTGGTGTCAGCTGAGAAAATCCCTTGCCCCTTGTGATTGTTTAGTAGATTGATATTGCAATGTTTATATAAAACTTCAATATTTCTGTAATTCGTGTTTAACATATTCTTTATTAAGTTTAGAATTAATTTACTTATACAATCATAGTTGACAATGTAGACAGTTGATTTAAAAAAATTGTTTTTGAAATTTTTTGAAAATGATGAATGTGATGATGATTGTCAACTATCATTGTTCCTATAAACTATACTTTTTAGAAGAGGTAATTCAAGAGTAGTATTAAAAGTATCTCAGTTCTCTCATATACTGATGGCGATATGTTTGGCTCATGTTTGTAAAAATTCAAGTTACTTTCTTATTCACACGTTTTGAAGAATACATGAGCAATAAATTATTTTTTGATTTGAAATGTTTATACACACTTTTCAAGCATACTCCAAATTACGCTACTTACTGATATTTTGCATGAAGTAAAGGTATATGAACCAAGAATACGGAAGATTATAAATGTAAATCAAGAATGTTTAATCCTTTGTTGACGTGACATTGAGATCATTAGGTATGGAAGGGATGCCATTTGTGTGAAGTAGTCTTTGAGGTCGAGCTTTGGATTGAAAGGCTGTTTCACTTGCACTTTGGTCATTCACCATTTTGTTCGTAATATTCCAAATGATGGTTGTGTTTAAAAAAAGAAAAAAGAAAAAAAGTAATAACAATAATAATAATAATAATAAGGGAAAATTGCATCCAAGGTACCAAAATTTTTGTTTATTAGCAGATTTTGCCCAAACATTTCATTTGTACCACCGTGAGTACCAAACCTTTAAAAAATGTGAAACTGATGTCCAAATAGATGGTTTCTGTTAGTTTGAAAGTTAGTTGACCCAATAAATTGACTTTGACCAATTTTAAAAGGGGTAGAATTGTAATTTTGAATTAAAATTTAAAAAGAAAAAAAAAACAATCACTGTTCTTCTTCTCTTTCACACCCCACCCCAAAACCCATCCACCGCTAACAGTCACCACCAATCGTCGGCAACCACCACCCAAAGCCATTCACAGAAAATAATCTACCCAAAACCAAGAAAATTGCAGCAATGGGTGGCTACAGGTGAACCACCACTGCCTCCCACCGACGCTATTCCATAGCTAGGACTCTTCAACTGAATTATTTGGACCTTTCTTGAATTGCCTTTCTACCTGCGACTGCGTTCACCTACTAGAAATCGTATCTGCTTTCCACCGTGACATTTTGTCGCCTTTCCTTTCTAGGATGCTCTCTTCCATCCTTCGTCGCCTTCGCAACCCCGACTTCGCCTTCTGTTTCGCCTGTGTCGACGCAATAACCTCCATCACCATACACATCACAAAATTCCCGGCATTCTCAAGCCCCTTGTAGATACTATTTTGAATGAGTAAGACCATAGCTCGCAGATTGATGCTTCGCTTTGCCTAGCTATCGCAACGGAGGAGGTGCAGGAACCAACATGATGGAGCTAAAAACGTTGTCACAAAGGCTGCCGAAAGCATTGTGAGCATTGGTGCTTGTTCTTTGATGTAATAAGTGAGAGTTGTGAAGGAGAAAATGAATCGGGCTGTAGAGATTTGGAGAGATGTTCCAGCAGGAGGTGGGGTGTGGTGGTGGGTGTAGGAAGGAAAAGATGAACAGTAAATGACCTTTGATTTTTTGTTTTTCTTTTTTTTTTTTAAATTTTAATTCAAAATTATAATTTTACCCCTTCTAAAATTGGTCAAAATAAATTTATTGGGTCAACTAACGGTCAAACTAACAGATACCATTCATTTGGACCTCAGTTGCACATTTTTTAAAGGTTTGGTACTCACAGTGGCACAAATGAAAGGTTTGGACAAAGTTTGCTAATAAACGAAAGATTTGATACCTTGGCTGCAATTTTCCCTAATAATAATTGGAACAAAAGTTGGCATTATCAAGAATTGGCCCCTTGTTGACGCTTGTCCGAAAGGGCCAAGCAAGTGGGAAACGCTACATTTTTCCACCACGTGATTTTGAATTTGTTTGTGAACATGCCTCCCTCCCATTCAATACGTTCTCATTCTACTTGAATTTCCTAGAATATTCAACAATTAAGTGCCTTTTTTTTTTTGGATAAAAATCAATTTTATTTTTTATTTTATTTTTTGTAAATTTTAACAAAAATTGATAAATATAGTGAATACAGAAAATGAGTATTTAAAATTAATTATTAATTTTGACTTAAATTTTTATTGACTTTTTAGTTAAATCAAATTAGAATTGAAAAAAAATAAAATTATATCTTTCATATTTAAATTGTCAGTTCGGTATAACATTACATAACATGTTTACGAGACCAAAATGCAAGCAAACCAGCTTCACAGTAGATAACTGGTTCACTATTTAATAGGTTGACTCGATATGAATTTTAAAACTAAGCTTCATATGTTGTCACATAACTATTCTTTAATACTAAAGGCCCGTTTGGTAGGGATTTTGAGAATTGATTTTTTGACCGTTAGAAGAAAAGTGGGGTCCATATGTGAGAGAAGAAGTCAAAAATTACGGCTTGAACAGTAAAATAACGGTCAAAAAATCAATTTTTTGGAGCAAAAAATCCATACCAAACGGGGCCTAAGAAAATATAATTATTAAACCTAGACACGTGACTGTGTTTCAAGAAAGAGAGATATTGACATTATTGTTACAATAAAGCTTCACTACACCATGGTAGTCCTCTCACAATGTGAGGGGTCCACATGAATTTTATAATTGTGGACCCCTTCATTATGAGAGGGGTGTAAGGATATAAAACACTAATTGCTGTACATCAAGCACTATTGTTATTGTTATTAACGAGGTTAAGAAATTGTCAAAACTAAGGATCTTAGAAGCTTGAAAATCTAGATTCTCTAATAACAATTTGTTATGAAAAACTACATAGTTGAGATAAAAGCTAATATCGTGAAAAGTATAATCGGTTCCCATCGCCTTTATCTAATGAAGCCATCGTAGAATGTCGACTTGTCTAATTTGCTTCTTATGGTCTATAAAAGAATCCTCATTAATCTCTTTCAAACTAAGTTAATCATTGCTTGTTAATTCTAGCTTCCAAACTTTGATCCCCATTTTTTAAAATTCATTTTCACTCAAACATTTTACGGGACTTACAATTTGTATTAATTTTTCAGCCACACATTTCATCAACTTTGACTAAAATTTACTAAAAACACTTATTATTATTATTATTATTATTATTATTTTTTTTTTTTTTTTTTATCAAAATCAAACTGGGGCTAAAAGTAGAATCCTTTATATTTACTAATTTTTTCCTTAACTATTAAGAAGTTTGTTTTGTTTTACTGCAGGTAGAGGGGTATTACTATTATAATGGAGAAGAACTCAAAATCCCCTGAGATTGCAAAATCCAGCCCTTGTTTGAGTCCCATTTTTGGAAAAAGAATGAATTTTTGATAGTGTATCGATGGGAAATGTGTGGTTAAAAAATAGAAAAAATTTTTGAATTTAATTGTAATATTATTTTATTGAAGATTATGTGATTGAAATGATGTCAAAACACTATTGAAAAGTACATTTTTTAAAAAAAATGAGGTTCAAACAAGGGGCCAATGGCTTATTGAAAAATAACATGACGATTTCTGCTTTTCATATTTCTGTCACCAGATTTTCAACTGTGTTACATGTTTGTTTTGTAGAAAATATGTCCACTTATTCAATTATTTGATAGTTGTATTATGTGTAAATGACAAATTTTAATATATTTTCAATATATCGAAAGCTGAATTGTGCTATGATTTGGTTTTTAATTCCGCGAAGAATATCAAATCAATGGTTTTGAAAAGACGCTTATAATTAGCCTTTGTTTGGTGGTCATTAAAAGAGTCTTTATTTATTTTTTAAGAAAAATAATCATTTGGAAATAGATAACAATATTGCTATTGTCAAAATCTGGTCCATTAATTTTAGAAATAGTTTTTGAAATGGATGAATATAATATTGACAAGTATGATTGTCAACTAATATTGTATGAAATAATTGTATAAGTAGCATGACTATTTCGACTATTTTTTTTTTTTGATATCCAGGTATCCCAACTTAAACCAAACTAAATTCTGGACCCTTGCCCCTAGAACCTTGGAGGGGGTAAATCGAGGGTTATGCCTCAACTGGATCACAGGTTCCCCCCATTGCCTGTACACTTCTGCGCACAAGAGACCCTCCTCCACAGTGATTGCTTCATACCACACCAGGAATCGAACTCTCCACTCTGTCGCTGAAAGCAAGACAATGTTGATTGATCCACCAGTTGAGCTGTGGCTCGGGGAGCACATGACTATTTTGACTATTGGTTTAAGGGATAGTTGCTATATTGGTCGCTAACCTCTTTTGTTGATATCTCATCTATATATACTAGATGAAAAAAGTTGATTGTTTTTAAACAATTCAATGATAGGTTGTCATCTGACATTATGTTAAGGATTATGTCAATCATTATATCTACATAATATGATTGTTTTTTGCTTGCACCTATATTTTTTTTAGGAAAATGCTTCTTATATATAACTATTTACATGATGATAAGTCGTCAAAATGTAAGTGAGAAAATTGTTTGATTGCTGAAAATTTAATCCAATTAAATCTCATCACATCATTTGTTAATGAATTATTATGTAAATTATTTTTTATATTCTTTTTCTTCTTGTGACCAAACTAGTCCAGTGTGATTTGATTGACAACCTGAAAGTAAAATAAAATAGTGAAAATAGAATGGTTATTTTCAATAAGATTGTAATCTAGAATGCAAATCAACTAGTGATTCTTTTAAATTTTAAACTAATAATTAAATGAATAAAGTATTTTGCAGATTTCATGGATGATAATTTGGATGATATTGTGTGCGTATTCAAAAATAATTTTGATAGGAAAGTGTGTTAAATTCAAAAATTATTCAATTATGTGTCGACATGTGACATAATGTCACTAGTGATGCTAAACAAAATACACAAGTAGCATGATTGTAGTTAAATATTCTAGTATTAATTATTCAAAAATTAAACCTTTGCTACAGCCTATTTAACGGTGCCAAGTGGCATATGACTTAAGCAATGACATTCCAAATGTACGTCATTCACATGACCTGAGAAAATACTAAACGCGCCTCTCGACGCGTGTGAAAACTTCCTTTGCATCCCATCGTCCAAAAGCTCCCAACGCGCAAAAGTATGTCGTTTAGTGATTAACTTCGCGTGCGATCGTCTCCAAGTAGTTTCTAGCTATTTTCTCTATATATAAATTAGTTGTTTCATATTCCTTACTCAAGGCCAAAAAAAATGGAGTTCTCTACTGGCCGGAAACGGGTGATCGACAAGTTGACTCGCGGCCTTGAACTCATCAACCCACTCCGAGTCATGCTGAATGGTGATGGTGCATTAGAACTGCCTTTGGCTGAAGGTCTTGTGGACAAAATCTGGGATACTTTTAATGAGAGTCTTTCGATTCTAAGCTCAACTGGGTCCGATGAGGTTTCTCGATTACCGGCCGTGAATTGGGATGGCCGGAAATCTCAAGATTCCAGCGAAAGTTGCAAGACTTTTGAGTCGAAAAATCGGAGAGGACGATACAAGAGAAGGTAGTACTTCTCGTACTCGAACTCGATTCGCTACTTTGTTCAGTTCATTAATATATCTAAATAAAAAAAGAAAGGATTTTTCTAAATCACTATGAATTGGAATTGTGAGTACGTATAGATACAAACAGACAAGTCACTCTTTATCCTAGTAAAATTTTTTAAAGATTTGTTAATTTTTTTTTACTGAGATAAGATTAATTATTGCCTACTTACTTAAGTAAAGAGAAAAGATCAAGAAAATAAGAATCCCAACAGGGGATTGATGATGAAAAAAATATGTTGATGGTATATATTTATCATTTACTGATAATTTTACAAATTTTAAAACATAGGACAACAACTGAGACATGGACAAAAGACACCCCTACTTTGTTTGAAGATGGCCACGCTTGGAGAAAATATGGACAAAAAGTCATCCTCAATGCTAAACATCCTAGGTACCTACATATATGCTTATTGAAATTACATTAAATTTAAGGTAAACTGTATTGGACAATACTGAACTAATAAATTTTGTGGTATGTCTTAGGAGCTACTTGAGGTGCACCCACAAGTATGATCAAGGATGCCAAGCAAGCAAACAAGTGCAGCAAATTCAAGACGATCCACCAATATACAGGAACACATACCTTGGCCAACATACGTGCAACAACTTATTCAAACCTTGTCAAGTCATCATGGATTCCACTGTTAAGGATTCTTCCATAATTTTGAGTTTCGGTACGGCGTCGAAATCAACCAAACCCGTGGAATATTCGCCGGCAAGTCGGGTGATTCCAACGATTTTGTCATCTGATTATTTTGTGGGTCATGATCATCATCATCTGACGGCTGCAATTTCATCAGGAGTTGATCATGGGGATGTGTTTTCTTCTGATGTATATTCTTGCACAGCAAGTACTCACAGCATGGAGGCTGATATGATGGTAGAGTCCCTATTTGATGATTTGCCTGAATTTTGATGGACAAACCACTTGATCTAGAAAACAAAAGTTGTATTAATAACGGTTTATGTAAAGTTTATTTTGTCGAGTGTTTCTTTCTTGATGTAAAAAGATTAGATTTTTCTTATAAATAATCTGATTAGAATTGCAGGGCTATGTTTCTATTTCCATCAAGCTTATCATATGATTTCCTAAGGTAGAAAAATAAATATTTAAAGCAGATAAGAAAACTATAGTACAATTATTCAAAGAAATTTGATTGTAATTATTAAAGGTACATGGAGGGGACAGTTTGATAGAAACGATCCACTGATTTCTGTCCTATTCATTTGGATCCATTGACAAGCCAAAATGTATATGAGAAAAGGAAAAAGAACTGATCTGAATAAAAATGATTCACGGAATCTCTCCTTAAAATGTGTAGTTAATTAGCGAGTCATTAGCGCAAAACGTCCTTACGTATGGAGTTCATTGTACAAAACGTCTCAACATGCATTTTTTTCCTGAATTACAGAAATATTTTTACTTGACCATCGAGGGATTTTCAACAAGCATACTATCACTTCGGTGAAGATGACGAGGCTGATGTAGCTGCAACAAATTTCTTGAACGCTTCATTTGGATCCAGATTAACAATCTCCATATGCTACTAGCTTGAGAATAAGGTCTTAGTCAGGAAGTGGGGCAAACTTATTTGGTGACTTGGGGGCCGTGGATGTGTAAGGAAGGAGCGATGAGGTTAGAGTACGTATACATTTTGTCAAGCTGTTGAGAAAGGGATTGCGAGTAATCATCAACGAACTGCAAATAGAACTTATTGCTACAATATTAATGCGGCCCAAGTAATATTATTAATATATTAATTAAAGTGGTTTATTATTGCTAAAATTCTATTGATCCATTGAGAAGTGATAATCTTATAACTGTTCACTTTGATAGAAAGTGAATAGTTTTATGGCCGGTGAGAAACTATCTATCCTTGTTAATAAACGTGAATGAAATCCATCAAATTAAAAAACATTCAATTCAATAGAGAGAATAATTTCTTTATTATTATTATTATTATTATTATTATTATTATTATTATTATTATTTTAAAGATTTACATCTTAATTATGGTCATAGATTAATGTATGCTTCTTGATCAATTAAATTCAAATGTAAAAGTCATGAATTCTAAAGATCTTGACATTAGGGTTTAATTGCTTACAACGCGTCCATGTTTAAACCAATGAGCAGAACAACAAATGGAAGTGGTGAAAGTGCAAGAACTATTTATGAATACTACTTAAGGTAACCAACCTCTTTGTTCCATGGATAGCGAGCAAAGTATAACCTACCATATAATTAACTTGTTATGACGAACCTAATGGAGTTTACTTAGTTAAAATCTGTTGTAAATTGTTGCTTGATGATGGAAACTGTGAGAATTGGGCAATTTTTATGATAGTGGCTTGGCCTTTATGACAGATATACTAAGAAGCAGTCTCCGTGCTCACCTGTCTTCGTCAACTGGGTGTACTCACATTTGGTTTATGTGGAAAAGGTGTTGTTCGATTCATTTGCTATTTTTGTGTGGATGACAGAAGGCAGTGTAAAAAGAGCACCCATGTATTATGGCTGCACAAAAAAATCGCGAAATTGCTAATTGAACCAAAACCGTTGAGTTGAGTTCACGTGGACCCGTGGTTCTTTATCCTTAGACAGAATCAACCTGTTTCAAAATGACTTGGTTTATATTTTGATTTTCAAAAATCGTACAAAACCAAACCGAACTCTTTTAAAAATTTTTAACAAAAAAATTAATTTTATTAACTTAAAATTTTTATAGTTTTCACTTTTTAGAAAAAATACCAATTTAGCAATACAAATTATAATCAACCTATTGAAATAATCATAGGAAGTAAATTAGGCTAATCATTATTTGCTTAGGAATGAGAATCCCTGAACCCCTCAACTAACTCAAAATCTTACTTAGAATTTGAAGTAGTCCTCAAAATCATGGGAAGAAAATATATTAAGGGAACTGATGCTGCTGGCTTATGGGATGTAGCAGGCCTATGATTTAACAAGTTCACAGCACATGTCTTCACCCAATATCTAAACTAAACTAAAATTATTTCAAAAGCACATGAAAAGAAAAAAACGTATAATTTCAACAATTCAAATCATAATTCAACAAAACTACGTCAACAAATCCCGTCCAAAGTTTCAGAAGCCCTAACATAAACTCTCATTTCTATAACATTTGATGCTTGTCTGTCACTGCTGAATGAATTGCCAATCACCTTTGCCTGTTAGTCTACTAACTTGTACTTGAATCGCCTCTTTCTCTCTTATCTTTTAGTAAGTCTCAGATTCTCATTCAAGTAATTTTTTTTGTTGTTCTTTATTTTATTTGTTATTTTTGAATTTATTATATATTTGTGATTTGTGGTTTGGATAGAAAAATAACTATTTGTATGCTTAGATAATTAATGAACTTGTTTGTGGTTTGGAAAGAACGAAGGACAAATCAAATTGATTGTGTGAAAATGTTAAAATTCTCTAATTAGTATTACTACACTCCACTTTCATAAAATAGTTAAAATATGGAATTCATCAATTCCCAGTAAGTCGAAACTCTATCAATCTTTGTACATCTCAACATCCCGTTAAATCCTTATTTAACATCTCACTAATAAGATGAAAATAATTTTAACTAAACTACAATAGCAGAATGTAACTCTACCTTTACCAATTGCTATATGATAATATAAATGTCGAACAAGAAAAGATAAATAAAAATGAAAACATATGTATTTGTTCTATAATTTATTCATGGTAAATATGAATGTAATTTAATTTTTAAAATTATTAGTTCTCTTTTAAACTTATTTATTAACTTATGCTAAATATATTACTATCTAAAAGTGACGAATCCTCTATTGATCATTCACAACCTTCATATGGTTCTTGACATACCCGAACGATGTCATTTTAGCGGCCTTGGTAGAGCAACATCCAACACCGTCAAAACATGACTGTCCTCATACAAGGCATTATGATGATCTCAAGTCATAGGACCAATTTCACTACCGAACTTTAGAGATTAACCACTGACACTCAGATAGTTATCTATGTGGAATCTCTTAGCTGGTCTCCAATATTTTGTTCTATAACAAAATATCCACGTGTTCAATTTAAGTGTCACTACACTTTAACTTGTGAGATCAGCTACTTACTTCACACGTAAGAAATACCACACGTAATAGTCTATCTGTAATAACGATATCCGTATCTCGTTATTACTTACGACCACGGATTATTCAAGATCCAATCATACGTAATTTGTATCTCACAATCACAACTCATTGTGATTAACAAATTACTTAAGCTTAGATCTTCGAACTCTATTATTTAATATTATTTATCACAAAATTAATTTAAGTAAATAATAGATCTTGCCAAAATTAAATACATCAAACATATTAAAAGTGTTTACAACCTAAATCGATTGGATCTAGGGCATAACACTTACAAACTCTCACTTGCACTAGATTCAATCACTCATATATCTAATATCATAAGCGTCCACATGACGATCATGTTTCTGATGTGACAACGACTTTGTCAATGGATCTGCAATATTGTCATCTGTGGGAACTCGCTCTATCGTTACGTCATTTCTTTGTGTAATCTCCCTGATGAGAAGATATCGCCTTAATACATGTTTGGATCATTGATGAGACCTCGATTCCTTCGCTTGTGCGATGGCTTCATTGTTATCACAATACAAAGGTATGGGATCAACAATGCTAGGAACGACTCCCAATTCATTAATAAACTTCTTGATCCAGACAGCTTCCTTCGCTGCTTTAGAAACAACAATGTACTCGGCTTTTGTTGTTGAATCAGCGGTTGTCTCCTGTTTGGAACTTTTCCAACTAACTGCTCCATTGTTGAGAGTAAACATATATCCTGATTGAGACTTGCTATTATCTTTGTCAGATTGAAAGTTGGCATCAGTATACCCATGAATCTTTAGTTCATTTCCTCCATAGATCAAGAATACATCTTTAGTCCTTCTCAAGTACTTAAGAATGTTCTTAACCGCTATCCAGTGTTTCTCACCAGGGTTTGCTTGAAACCTGCTCGTAACACTTAGAGCATATGAAACATCTGGTCTCGTACATAACATCGCATACATCGCCGAAGCATAAGAAATCTTATCCATGCGATTCATTTCATCATGTGTTTTAGGACACATATCTTTTGAGAGGTAAATTCCATGTGACATGGGACATAAACCTCTTTTAGACTCTTCGATATTAAATCTTCTCAAGATTTTATCTATGTACGAAGATTGGGATAAGCCTAATAATCTTTTAGATCTTTCTCTATAGATCTTGATTCCCAAGATATATGCTGCTTTTCCGACATCTTTCATGGAGAAATTCTTTGACAACAATAATTTTACCGATTGAAACATTGGGATGTCATTTCTCATTAATAATATGTCATCGACATATAATATTAGGAATACGACCACGCTCCCACTTGTCTTCTTGTAAATACACGGTTCATCTTCATTTTTTATAAAATCAAACCTTTTGATTGTCTCATCAAAACGAAGATTCCAGCTCTTTGAGGCTTGCTTTAATCCATAAATGGATCGATTTAGCTTACATACTTTGTTGGCTCTTTTGGATTCAAAACCTTCAGGCTGTGTTATGTACACCTCCTCTTGTAAGTTTCCATTAAGGAAAGCAGTTTTGACATCCATTTGCCATATCTCATAATCATGGTATGCAGCTATTGCAAACAAAATTTGAATGGACTTTAGCATGGCTATAGTTGAAAAAGTTTCATCAAAGTCAATGCCTTATCTCTGTGTGTAACCCTTCGCTACTAGCCTTGCTTTGTATGTATGGATGTTTCCATCCACATCGACCTTCTTCTTATAAACCCATTTAGAAACTATCGATTTTATCCCACTTGGAAGATCGACCAAGGTCCAAACCTTGTTCTCATACATTGAGTTCATTTCCGATTCCATGGCTTCTTTTCATCTCTTCAAGTTAACACTTGACTTCGCTTCTGCGTAATTTGTAGGTTCATCATCCTCCACTAATAATACTTGATTAGTAATCGTGAATTCGTACCTTCTGGAAGATCGAATGATCCTA